TCGTCGTCGGGCGTCCGTCGTCCGGGACTCCCGCACCAGGCGGTGGTGCGCTCGGCGGGGGTGGATACCCCGGCGCACTCGCACCGGCACCTCGCGCGCCAGAAACGTCCGAGAACCCACTCGGCGGTACGTTCGTCGTCGCATAGAAATCGCGCGCAAACTCTGAGAGGTGCGTCGTCGGTGGTGGCCGTTGCGGCTGCGGAGGCGGCTGCACATGCATCTGCGGCGGGGACTGCTGCTGGCGTCCAGGGTACGCCGTAGACCAGCCGGAAGAGGACGGGGGCGGCGCCGATTGTATGCTCATGCCGGACATTTGGCCTGTGAGCTGTTGCCAGAGGGATGGCGCGGGCGACGCGGAGGCTTGTGTCTGCGGAGAGTTTTGCGGTGGACGAGGCGCGGGCTGGAAAGGGCGCGAGGGCCCGAATTCGACAGTGCTTTCGCCTTGGTACACATCGGGTCTCGTTGTGTATGCAGGGGGTGCCTCTTCCGTCAAGCCCGCCGGATCTGCGGGGTGCGGTGCTGAGGGCGGCGAGTATTGCTGCTGGGAAGGAGGTGAGTTGCTGGGTGGCGCATATTGCGGGTTCCCAGTGGAATTGGGCGAGGCGGCGGGCGTGCGGAATGGATTGTGGGAGACGTCCGCCATTCTGTGGGTGCACAGCATTCAGTCGGAGGGCGCTTATCAAGGGGGAAATCCCACGTGGCAAAATAGGGGTCTTTGCAAGAAAAGTCGGAGAGGACGAGGTGAAAGCTGGGGAAGAAGCAGCGGGACAGGTCTTATATACAATTTGTCAACAGAACTTCCTGGTGGGGGCCGACGGCGCCATCGGCGCTAAGTCTTCCGCAGTGTAAGGCGATGCTGAGGCTGTTGGAGGCGGGATTTTTTATTTCTCTCTCTTCCTCTCTAGATCTGTTTCTTGTATTGCACGAGGGAATGAATTGGGCGGCAACACGACGATTGGTTGGCCTCGGGCTGTATTCAAATACAACTTCCACCGAAATGCAAGCGCAGCACACCTGGGAAGAGTTGTGGCTGAGCCGCAGCATACTCGGCAGCACACGGAAGGCGTTCTTCGCTCTGGTCGTCTTGAGGAACTGATGAAGAGAAGGTATTCGCGTGCGGAATGACGTCCATTGATACATGCGTGGAACTTGAGGAATCTAGACGGCCGCGGAGAATAATGGAGAAAGAGGAAGATTGAGAGAGGGAGTTCCGCCATGTTTCTGAAGGGATTAGATTCAGATTCGGAAAACAAAAAAGGGAGGAGAAGACGTTGACTTGAAGACGGAAGAGTCATGGGCCCAAAATATAAGCGCAGGGAGACTTGAATAGCCCGTGAATCCGAGGCGTTGCGGTTTTCAATCTCGAGCAAATCTCAAGGATATAAGCGTTGAATGGTCATAGATCCGAGTCGTCGCGGCTAGCGCTTGTTAGGGTTTTCCACTTGAGCAAATCTTGAGCTTGGCGCGTCGAGAATGGGTATTGTAGGTCCCAAGCCCCAAGGGCGCGGACTACGAGGGCTTGAGCATAATAGGTTGGAAGTTTGACGGGATAGATAGGAAAGCAAGAAACGACCATGGATGTCGAGAGCAAGAGTGGATGTCACAGCGTGACCCCACGCGACATTTGACGCAAATTGACGTGTACGTCCGTTTACGTCTTGAACGGAAACGGGAAGATAATCCTTATGCTTCCTACGCGTATATATCCTGGAGCAGTAAGCCCTCCGCGTCAAAAGTGGGCTGTGTGAAGGAAACGGTCGACGACCGCGCGACGCGATCACGTGCCTAGATATATTCTCAGTAATCCCAAAATTGTCGAAGTCAGTGAAAGAGGATGTGTTTGGTGAAAGGAATAGGCAAAGGCTTGAGTCACGGCTGCCAGTAGCCTTTCAATTCGGTACGAGATTGATTTTCTGAATCTTTCAATCGGACCTCACGTTCAACAATGTTCTCATCCGGCTTCGAGGTCTTCCCCACAAATTCATGCGTTTTCTGAGACTACGAGAATTGGCTAACATACAAAAAACACATAGAGGTCCAAAATCTTCACTACGCCAGATGTTTTTGAACATGAGCCAGGACGCGCGTCAACATGTCCTCGACATGTGCACGTTCTTTAAACTGATGTCCTTCCCGCGGATAAATGATAAGTGTCGCTGCATCGCCCGCAAACTTCTGGGCTTCCCTCTTCAAACCTCGCATGAACCCGATGGCCTGCGTCAGAGGAACACGCTGGTCCTCTTGGCCGTGGAGGAGCAGAAGCGGTGCTTCGACATTCTTGACGTCCCGGATGGGACTACCTTGTAGATAATCAGGCGAACCAGGAGTCCACGGAGCAATGCCGCCCAAATCAGCCTATGCAGGAGCATTATCAGGTACTTTCTTGTCTTGACCGACAAAGTAGCTTACCTCCTCGTCCGGAAGATCAGAACAAATGATCAAGCTTCCCCAGTCAGTAGGACCAGCGCCAATGATACCCGCTTTCCATTTTGCATTCGGGCGCGTGCAACCCCAGGCGGCGAGGAATCCGCCCTGACTGTAACCCGCAATCGCGACTTGGTCTGGGTGCGCATATCCACGTTCGACTGCTGCGGCTAGCATTGACTCCACATCAGCGTAGTCAAGCTTGCCCATCCCACCGTGGGCGGCCCTCGCAAAGTCGTTACCGCGGCCTTGGCTTCCGCGATAATTCGGAGACAGAACGAGGAACCCATTTGACGCCAGAAGAAAACGGTAGTGCATGCCTACGTATAGTGTTCGGTTTTCCATCGAGCGATCATAATATATCAAACGGCTCACCGTACCGCATATTCAAAGTGTCTCGACTAGGTTCAACTTAGTATGACATTTTTTACTTGGAGAGTCACGTACCCATACGGTCCACCGTGGGGGACCACAACGGTAAACATCTTCTTTGGCTCTGATCCACGAGGATAGGCCATGACGCCCTGCAGTGCCGTCCCATCCCCGGCATTCCAATAAAAAGGCGCACACTGCGGCATCTCTTTCTCTGACATCCAGCGATTATGCGACGAAAGTTTCCTCGACAAAACACCTTTAACGCCCGGCGTCGTTGAGCCAAACCAGATGTTCTCGGCCTCCCCGGTAACGCCAGAGCTGCGAACGACGGCAAAGATATATCTGTCGTCGACCCGCTTGATCGCCCAGCTGGAGAATGCGTCCTGTGAAGTTTCAAGGACAGTCGTTGGAGGTGCACCGGTCAAGCCAACGACGTCGATCCGGGACTCCAGACCACATGCAACCCCCACCGCGAGTTCTGAGCCAATGCCAACGAGTGCCGTGATATCCTCGTCGGTCCAGAAGACTAGACGAGCGGGAGGCCAAGACGCCATCCTCTCCACGTCGCATACGCAAAGAGCCGGAGAAGAGGTCGAGTCGTCTGCATACAGGAAATGAAACTTGTCGGCTTCAACCCAAACGCTGGTGTCGCGAGGCGCGCGACGATGGGTCGCGATGCGGGTGCGAGGGAACTGAAGGTCATTGTTTGATTCCTCGATCGAGACAAAATACTCGGATACCCCAAACGAGTGGCTTTCCGCGTCCGGTAGTTGCATCCCACGAAATAGCATCCGGGTACTGTCGGGCGACCACACGAAGGACTTCACATGCGGCACATGGATATCGAGAGAGACGACTGTGCGAATTCTATGATTGTTCTATAAACGCCAGCTCTTCGTATGTACATGGATGCGGAGCAACGTACCCTTCATGTCGACCACTAAGGTCAAGGATGCGGAGGGTACATCCATTCTTGGGGGCCTGCCAGGTGATCACATAGGTCTCTTTATCCTCTTCGTCCTTATCCGCGGGCTCGTCAGGGCTGGTAAACGCCAGCCACCGTCCATCCGGCGAAATCTGGAATCTAGAGACACCTCGTGTGTTCGTTGTCGGTGTAAGTGGCTTTGCGTCTCCGCCAAACGCGGCCGATGAGAGGCGATATATCTGCGCCTTTCCGCCAGCTTTGTGCCGATCTGACAAGAAGAAAATGTCCCCAGACTTGGGGTCAAAGGCTGGATCGTAGTCGTTGAATAACCCAGATGTGATTTGCCTCGCGCTATCCGGGACACCAGTGTCGGCGAGCCAAAGAGCCTGTGTTTTGTGCGCGTCTTTGCTGCGGAATAACGGACCTACGCAGTACACAACTCGGTCTCCCGCATTGGAGAGAGTTAGTCCGTTTATCTGGTCGGCGTTTGCAATGTCTTGAGGGGTTACCGCCATCTGTGCTAGGACTGGGCAGACAGGGCTGAGACTCTGTGAGAGTGGAGGAGGGTGCGAGTGGGAATGGCGAAGTAAATTTGTTCCGAGTCGCCGGATCAAAATACAGCGTTCCGGTGATGAACACTCTTTGCTAGTGCTACTGCGTTTATCTTCTGGAAGATGCCGCCGCCACTGTAGGCTTTCACTGCCCTCGAACTGCTCTGCGTCCTTCCGACCTAAAATTTCTAATACATGTATTCTTCACGACTGAGACCTTTGGCTCCTACTTCCGATGTGCAATAGGGTCGCTTACAGTGGCGCACTTTGGCCGTTAAAAGCACTAAGGAATATGTAGCCCAAATTCTTTGAGTATTGGGTGGAAATTCACGAAAAAGCAGCGACCTTCCAAAGAAGATAGGGGCCTCCCAAACGGGAAGTTCATCAAACCATCACCCTCGTCAAGTATTGAACGTTGTGTTGAGTGTAGGGCTTTCTCGCATCTTTAAAACGCTGCCAAATAAGTCCATTTTACTGGTACATAATCATTCTTCCAGCACAGCTGCAGTTCACAGCAGGATTGTTCAAGCGCGACGAACGACCCGTGCTTGAGCAAATGAATTTGAGTGCCGTACGTTGCTTTGGAGAGTCTGTTTTCAATACATGACAATATCTGCGTCCTGAAAAAGGGGCCCCGTGAGAATATCTGCGTCCTGAAAAAGGGGCCCCGTGAGATCTTTATTGTTCATACGGGGTCGGGTCAAGGAAAATGCGCGACAAAAAATCACGGACACGAGGAATTGAACCTCGATCTGCCTCTCTCAACTTCGCCCAAGGAGAATTTTCGAGACCGCGCTATCCCTTGCACCATATCCGAATGTGGGAATACAATTGCGCAGGTCGCTGAATGGACACTCTGTGTTTCAGATTCTTACATAGATGTAAGAAGTTATGCGGAAGCTGAACCCAGGACTGCCCCTCTCTAATGCCTTGCCCCGAATCGTGACCACTCCGGCATCGAGCCAAAGGCGTCGGAGAGCTGAGTGAGAGAAACCTGCAGCCATTGCAACGAAGAGCTCGTGCATTTCAGCAGCCGTGGCGAAATTGAAAAAGGCGCGGAACTTCGTCAACGGAGCCGCACTGCATAGACCCAACAATTCAGTTGTGGAAACTCCGGTCAGCCTCGAGGAATTTTTGCAGGGCAGCTCACGACAATCTAGTATGTGTTAGCTCTGATGTCGTCGCTGTTATATTTCAAATATCGTGTTTGGCACATTCCACTGGGCCTGGACATCAATACCGAACAGGGTCAGAGGGACCTCAATGGTGGGCTTCCACGCGATACTTCTGCGTCATTTTGTCCCCGAGAGGATACAGATGCTTTGAGTCTAGGGTTGATGTTGAAAAGTTGAAAAAAACTGTGGGTGCAGGCGAGTGATCGCCAGCCTGGCCATCACCGGATTCCGAGTTGCCGAGCGTGCCGACCACCTCGGAGCCGCTCTTGTGCTTCGACATTTTCATACCAGCCTTGGAAATTTTACTTCAAGCTCAACTGCGTTAGGTGTTTCCATGCACAACCTTCGCAAAACCACAATATTGAGCCCCTCCGACGCCGTCCGATGTCAATTTTAATGAAGGATCACAGAATAGAGAATGCCATCAGTTCCACCTCGTACTAACTTATCCTTCCCTAGGATTGGAAGAGCGCTCTAGCGTCTGACCGACAGTTAACCAAAGGTAAGGCTTAATCTGACAACCATCATGAGACGTACCTGCGGTCCAGCAACCCCGTTTTCAACCGATCAGATACTATAGCTAAAAGTGCAACCAAGTGTTTAGCTCCCGGAAGTCTCATATTGGTCTCATACCTCCTACCCCATTTCTAATCTTTCTTACCCCGAATACTACCCTCGTCTCTTACTCATTGGGCTGAACTAATCCTCTTGGCCCTCCTGGCCCCCGCTACCCGAGGCCAGAGCACTCGGCCGACACCTGCTCCCCGAACGACACCTCTTTGAGTTTCGAGCCCGGGTCCAATTAAAAATGACTTCTTCGGGCCATTTCGTCGGTCGACAGCCTTTGTCGGACATTCGTCGAAGCTCAGGATGTACTGCAAGCGACGTTCCCGAAGACCGAAATGTCCCGAATACCCGAGTTCGTCCCCGGTGGCGCCCTTTCCAACGCCGATCCCGACGGGGCCTTTCGGGGATCCGGGTGAGGGTCGGGCGGGGACTCAAGACGGTTCTCGAAGACGGAGGATACTCAGTTGTGCCTCGTGGATAGCGCGAGGATAAAGTTAGTGGTCTCTGCTTCGGATCTCCCCAGATGCGGGGAAATGTGGGCCTATAGTGTCAATGCAGGCTTTGGCCGGCGACATGTGACCTTTTTCATGGACGGGGGTGCTAACTGAGCAAACTACAACGAAATCCACAAATCCTTCAAGTTAAACGAAACTGCCAAGCTGTGAATTTTGAAGTTGACTGTAGACCCTGTTTGACTTGTTCCGAGTCCCGGTGATAAAAAACGCTGATTCCTAATACTTAAATTATTAATGATGCAAGACAATTCCTTAGGGCGTAATATATTCGTCGTAAGGCATTGAAATACGACTGTCGCGACCTATTCTTTGAACGCCGGACGGAGCCGCTGCATTTCAACCCTAAATCACAATGCATTTAATTTTCAACCATGCGAATCAACACATGGTCGCGCGGATCCCATGTGATCGACACCGCTGCTTGATCGCCGTTATTGGATCCCCGAAGTTCGGTGAATTCGATGTTGACCGAGCTCTAGCGGGTGCGAAATTTTCCCAGTGGGTCCGAATTCGTATTATTTCTCCCTTCCTTTTTTTCTTTTCCCTCGGGGTTTCCCGAGATTGATTCCGGTAGTAGTGTTCCACGCCGATGTAAATTCGCTAAGGAGTTGAGGGACGGGAAGGCACAGAGAATTTGTTCCCAGTCCATCTGATCGAACTCAGGCATACGGTGTTTTCCCACTCGCATATTCTTTTTACCCTCAGGGTTACCTCAGAGTTGGGAAAGGCAGGGAAATTTCCGAGGTAAGATGATTGTTATGCTCAGATGTTGAACTGATTGATTTTTTTTCTGCTTGCGCTGCCAGGCGGAACTAAGTTCCCACTTCTCCGCCGACGGGGCATGTTGCGGATGAGGAGTTACCCGCACATATATCCAGGACGGTAGCATCTTAAAAGGGACGCGATCGAATGTCCCCAAATCGAATCTAAATATACCCCGCATATAATGAAGAGCGAATGTGGTTTTATGTATTTGGGAGAGACGGGAGTCTCGGGGACGCCGCTGTACGTCGACTGTGACATCTGGATTGTGGAGTACCTGGATGGAAATTACAGGTGTCCAAGGTTAATAGTGTATAAATATAGGTACGAACTTATCCGGAAGTAACCATCATCCCGAACTTGGAGGAACTGTGAGGGACTCCAAAGGTATTGAACTGACGTCGGGACTGAAGTTACTGAAACGCTGTAGCCTTGATTACTCCCAAGCTCTCCCTCGCTCCCGATTTTCTCCCGTGTTACAAGGGGCAAGGCAGCTACCATGGACGCTGGCCCTGGGTCATTTATCAGGAAGAGTCAAACACAGTCACGATGTATTCCGGTGAGCATCGGAGGCAGATATTCGACGATGGAATGGAAGTTTGAAAGTTCCGGGACATAATAGGGCGATACCTTCGTCCCAAGTCAGAAGCCGCGAAGGTATAGACGCGGATTGGAAACCTGGATGAATGCTAAGACCAAAAGCGGAAACGCCGCAACAAACATCCGTCAACACATCTCGGCAAAGCCCACGTCACACCTCCCACGACATTCCACGGACGCGCCACTGTTTTCGAGAAACGCCAGACGCGTGGACCGTCGAAATCCGACGCGTTACTCCTTTGCGGGATGAACAAATGGCATGCTTATGCGGCATGTAGCCTAGAAGGAGTTCTACTGGTGAGATAAGCGCTCATTTGTAAGTTATGAATTGAGAAGTTCTTCCTACGGGTAGGATGCATGCGTGCCGGAGAAAATGCATGATATATTCCTCCAACGTTCTATGTACAGTTCTCCCGTTGGCGGGAATCACGACCATCACACCCTGTCGCCGCCTCTGTCACCACGCCACCGCGTGTTGCAGTCAATAGACGGTCTCTGCCGACGCAGATGATAGGTGGGAAGGCGTCGACATTTCCGAAATATTCTGATATCTGTTGATATTCAGAAGTTTTTCCCCGTAGTTTGCAAGAGACTCTCAAGACCGCATGCTCCCGTCGCAGTAGAACGTGGGACGACTAGGGCCGCCTCCTCCCGGGGCGCGTCCAAGCGGATATATTGAAAGCGGATGTCCTATGCCGCGATATGGTATACATTTTTGCGAGCACGGCGGCGTATATCAGTACAGATGGGATCCGCGGATCAACCACACAAGCTCCTCCTCCTCCGATACAGGCTCACAACTTCCAGTACGCCAAACTGGAAGCGGCGCGCTCGAACGGAAATTCCCCTCCCCAGCCGTCGACGTCCGCGTAACTCGCGTCGACGGCGCCACGGAGCTCGTTGAGCGCCTTGCGCGCGGTCGTGTACTCCCCAACCCGGCCGGCTTCGACTTCTTCCTTGCAGCTCTGAATATGGATGACATCAGAACACGAGGCTCGCAAACCTTAAAGGCTCTAACCTGGATCGCCTGCGCGATGTCGGCATCTATTATGGCAAGGATATCCGCCACGTCCCCTTCGCCGTCCCAATGCAACCCGATAGTAGACCGCACCGCGCCAGTAAGGAGGCTATGGAGCGAAGGTTTAATATCTTGCAGGTAACAGTGGTGCGAAGCTCACCCCAAGCTTGCGAAGCCCATGCCAGATCCATACAACGCTCTCGCGCGCTTGAGCAAATCGTGTAATTGTGGCGTCGACGCCACGCTGGTGCCATACGTCGTGAACAGGTTATACCCCCCCGAAAGGCAACGCGCGTTGGTCTGCTGGAGGCGATCGCGGGCGGCCGTCGTCAGTGCTGCAGCAACTCCGGGGGTGGCGGACGCGACCATGCTGCGAACGATAGCGCGTAAACTGATGAGGTGGCACCGTCAGCGCTCGAAGGAAAGTCTGGCGCGGAGAACAATACTTGCTCGTCGAGATTCGCGTTCGCGATGAGAGTGTCCGCCATAAGGTTCCTAGTGTGGCGGTTAAATTTGGGAGCAGGAGGGCCAGTGGGTGCCAGCTCACACATGACCGAGCACTGGGCGGGTGTTGGTGGGTCGGGGGGCGACTTCAGGGGCAGGCATGGTTGGCGCGGGTTGGAATAATCGGACTCGCGTGCATGGGTCGACTTTTATAGCTCATGAGGCAATCAGTTTTTCCCTCGCGCATCTTCTGACGAAAAGATTTAACCTGTCTCGAGGACCGGCGACTCGCTGGTTCAGCGGTCGGAGATACATATTGCAACCGATCAAAACGGCTGATCTTACCCCAATCGTGCGCTGCAAAACTCCGTGACAAAATTACGCCGTGCCTTGCTGGCCACGGATCCTTGCCCCTTGGACTGCTCCCTTGCCCCACGTATAAAGGCCCAGCGACTGGCATTCATCTCGCCCAGATATCCGCCATGTCCTCCCCCACACACGAAACATTCGACCTGGGGCCACACAAGGACATCACACGGCTCTGGTGCGGCCTCTGGCAGCTCTCTAGCAACGCATGGGGTAGTGCCCCAGTGCCGAGGATTCGTAAATGCATGGGCGAGCATGTAGACCTCGGATTTACTGCGTTCGGTTGGTGATGTCACTCCCATATACCTTCGTGTCTGACGCGTGCAGACATGGTACTATCGCCCTTCCAGTAATACTGAACGTCATCTTA